TTTATTCCATCGTATAAATTTGGATTGTTTGTCAAAAATCAGGTGTTCGCAGGTGTATGGGTTAATATCAGGGTTTTCAACTCTATTCTTTTGGTCTGTCTATTTTTGTGTCAATACCAAGCTGTTTTCAGGACTATAGCTCTGTAATAGAGCTTGAAGTCAGGGATGGTGATGCCTCCAGAAGTTCTTTTATTGTATAGGGTTGTTTTGGCTATCCTGGGTCTTTTGTTTCTCCATATAAAGTTGAGAATTGTTCTTTCAAGGTCTGTGAAGAATTGTGTTGGGATTTTGATGGGTATTGCATTGAATCTGTAGATTGCTTTTGGCAAGATTGCCATTTTTACTATGTTGATCCTACCTATCCAAGAGCATAGGAGATCTTTCCATTTTCTTGTATCTTCTTTAATTTCTTTCTTTAGAGACTCAAAATTTTTACAGTACAGGTCTTTCACTTTTTTTTGGTTAGTGTTACCCCAAGGTATTTTATTTTGTTTGTAGCAATTATAAAGAGTGATGTTTCTCTGATTTCTTTCTTCAGGAATGTGTCATCGGTATATAGTAGGGCTACAGATTTTTTTGAGTTAATCTTGTATCCTGACACTTCGCTGAAGGTGATTATCAGCTGTAGGAGTTCCCTGGTAGAGCTTTTCGGGTCACTTATGTAGACTATCATATCATCTGCAAATAGTGAACGTTTGACTTCTTTCTTTCTGATTTGTAATCCCTTGATCTCCTTTTGTTGTCTTATTGCTCTAGCTAGAACTTCAAGGACAATATTGAAGAGGTATGGAGAGAGTGGACAGCCTTGTCTTGTCCCTGATTTTAGAGGAATTGAATTGAGTTTCGCTCCATTTAATTTGATGTTGGCTGTTGGCTTGCTGTATATTGCTTTTATTATGTTAAGGTGTGTTCCTGTTATCCCTGACCTCTCCAAGGCCTTTATCATGAAGGGGTGTTGGATTTTTGTCAAAGGCTTTTTCAGCATCTAGTGAGATGATCATGTGGTTTTTTTCCCCAGTCTGTTTATATGGTGGATTACATTGATGGATTTTCGTATGTTGAACCATCCTTGCATCCATGGGATGGAGCCTACTTGATCGTTGTGGATGATTTCTCTGATGTGTTCCTGGATTCGATTTGCCAGTATTTTTTTTTTTTTTTT